GTTAAAGCTAAGAGTCCCCCTCCGTTCTGCCCCTAATTCGGACCCTTCGACCACCTCCTTGTGTCCTGTTGTGGTAAAACAAAAGCCTGTTCTTCCCCCTGATGAGAGTGTTCCCGCTGATCTGCTGAGTGAGAATCCCCCTCCCTACCACCCTCCCCCGCAGGCCGCTGCGGCTGTTCCAGATGAAGTCCCAGCAGAAGGACCGGAGGTTGCTCCCTCCCCCATTGTGGGGCGACTCAGAGAAAGAAGAGGACAGGGAGATTCCTCACACGTCCTGCCCCTCCGACTCGCAGGAGGGGAAGGAAACCAGTTTCAGTATTGGCCCTTCTCCGCTTCAGACCTGTATAACTGGAAAACTCATAACCCGTCCTTTTCCCAAGACCCGCAGGCCCTAACGGCTCTGATAGAATCTATTCTCCTTACCCACCAACCCACGTGGGACGATTGCCAACAGCTCCTGCAAGTCCTCCTAACTACGGAGGAAAAGCAGAGAGTCATTCTAGAAGCCTGAAAGCATGTCCCGGGGGCAGACGGGAGACCAACCCAATTGCCAAACGAGATCGAGGCTGCCTTTCCCCTCACCAGACCTGCTTGGGATTTCAACACGGCTGAAGGTAGGGAACACCTATGTCTTTATCGCCAGGTGCTTGTAGCGGGCCTCCAAGGGGCAGGAAGATGCCCCACCAATTTGGCCAAGGTAAGATCAGTAATGCAGGGAACCGACGAGCCGCCCACTGTGTTTCTAGAAAGACTTAAAGAGGCATATCGGAGGTACACTCCCTTTGATCCAGACAGCCCCGAACAGGAAGTAAGTGTTTCCATGTCTTTCATATGGCAATCAGCTCCTGATATTAGGAGTAAGCTCCAGAGAATGGAAAATTTGCAGGGGCAAGGTCTTAGAGACCTCTTGAGGGAGGCAGAGAGAATTTTTAACAAAAGAGAGACACCAGAAGAAAGAGAAGAAAGACAAAAAAGAGAGGCAGAAGATAGAGAGGCAATGAGAGATTGAAAGCGAAATAAGGAATTAAGCAGAATCCTGGCCACAGTAGTAAGAAAGGAAGATGAGGGCAGAGTAGAGAGGAAGGGAGATTGAGGGCGTGTCCAACTAGGGTCAGACCAGTGTGCCTACCGCAAGGAAAAAGGACACTGGGCAAAGGACTGTACCAAGAGAAAGAAGAAACAAAGGAAAGACAGAGCTGAAATCCTTAACCTTGATTAGGGAGGTCGGGGCCAGGAACCCCCACCCCGCCCAGGGATGGGAGGATGAGGATCAGAGACCGACAGCACGTTCCCCGACGTTGCACAGCACGCCCCCGGCCTGACCTTCGTCTCCACCCCTCCGCTCTGTCCCCTGTCCAGAGTCATCATGGCCTTTTGCCCTCAGTTGGCGCTTTTACTTTGGAAAAACTACATTTATCGCAGGAGACAGCCGATCCAGCTACTCGAGGAACTGCTGTGGCCCCTGTTCCTGTTCTTCATCCTGGTGGCCATTCATCACTCGCACCCCCCAGTAGAGCACCACGAATGTCACTTCCCCAACAAGCCACTGCCATCTGCAGGCACGGTGCCCTGGCTCCAAGGACTGATCTGCAACTTAAACAACTCTTACAGCAATACCCCTGCCTCTGCTTCCTGACTGCTGGGATTTCAGATGCATGCCACCAACACCACACCTGGCTTCCACCTCCACTTTTGATTAATATTTCACTTTTTCTCTAATCTTTTTCAGTCTGCAATCTTGGCTCCTATTTCCTCCCTCACCAGCTCAATGAGGAAGATCTCACCACTAACTCTACTGCTGTTTTTCCTGTCCCAGACTTGAGTATGGCGCAAATCTTTAGGGAAAGCAAATGTTTTTTAGGGGTTTTCTGTTATGTGTAATAGTGAAATGACTGGAATTACTACTCTCTTAACAATTAAAAAAGAAATCTAAAACTCTGTCCAACAAAGTAATCACAGTATGAAAGCATTTGTTCAAAACTTTTTTTTCTCCTTTGTTTCTTCTTAATGTCAGCCTAGACTCAAATTTATAGAAGAGCCAGAAACCTCTATGGAATCTCTTCGCGCACTTACATCAAGATTCAGCCTTTTGAAAAAGGGCTTAAAACTTTGACTGAGGTGGGAGGTAATGGTAGTGGTGGAGACTTAATAAAAAGGTGGTTTCCTGTTCCTGAAGAGGAAATACAGTTACTGTCGACATCGTTTCCCCATTTGTCAGCTTCCTCCCTCCCTTTCTGCCCAAGGAGGAAAGTGGTCCAGCCCGTAACCACCATACTCCGCCCTTGATGTCATAATCACAATCCCATTACCTCATCCTGCTGGGGGGGGGAGGCTTATAGGGAAGGGAAGGAGTGAGTATCTTTGGGCCCTCCTCATTTTGGGTGAGGGCAAATCCAAGTGGTCACTGTCCCCGCAACCGTTATAAATCCCGGGTTTATAAGGTTCCTGCAGATCAGAAGGGCTCCAGGGACTCAGTGCAGGCCCTTATCCGCGCTTGGACTACATTTCCCAGAAGCCTTCAGGCCCAGGACCGGTCCTTTGCCAGGGGAAGGGGGATTCTTTCAGAGACGTGGCTGTATCGGAGCTGAGAGGAGAGCAGGTGAGAAGCACTGTAGCTAATTCTGTTTCGCAGCCCGAAAGGAGTAAGCGGCTTCAGCTGGGTTCATGGACGGATGAAGGGAGTGGGCAATGGCTTTGTTTACCTTCATCCGACATGGCTTCCCCCACGGCTTTTAGGATGTGCTTCCAACTGGGCCGGTCCACTTTCCGCGATATTTTGGAGGGGATGACTGGTTAATGAGGCAACCATCCCATCCCCAGATCGAAGCTCTAGGCTTGTCCCCAACCGCTGCATTCTGAAAAGACTTTCAGGAGAGAGTACATGGGGCTCGGGCCTCTTGGGGCGGCTGAGATGCAGTCTACAAGCGAGGGATACCCCCTCACTCTCCTCCGGGGCCATTTGGTTCACGCCGGCGCCTTTTAAGGGCACCGTGGGGCGAACGGAGCGCTCAGAGCTGCTCCGGCCGCGGCCCTGGGAGCTGGAGGAGCCGCGGTAGGTAGCGGAGGGCAGGTGGCGCTGGGGCCTCGGGGCGGGCACCTCCACCGTCCCTCCCTCCTTCCCTCTTTCCCCTCCCCCAGGTCAGCGGACGGCGCGGCTGGGCCTCGCAGGCCGCCTTCGCGGGAAGAGCTCGGGACCCGGTGGGGGAGGGGGTGGCGGAGTCCAAGTCCCAGACCCTCCCCATCTCTGCGTCCTGAGTTCGCTTCCCGCGGTCTGAAGGAAGAACGCGAGTGGAAAGAGGAGAGCGACAGTCTCCCAGAGCATTGCCCCCCCCCACTCCACCCCTAAGGGCCAGTGGATGCCCCATGCCCCACCCCGCGGGGACAGGCAGGGCAACAGAGGGAGAGGTTGAAGATTAGAAGGGGCCTAGCCGCTTGCTTCTTCGTCGGGGTCGGGGGGGAGGGGTGGTCCCCACTTGTCACCCCTATCCCCATAAGAACCATATGGAAGAAGAGCAATCAGATACCTACTTGGCTTTTCTTACACCTCCCTGCCTTGCTCATGTTTTCCTTTAGTCTTTCCCAGAGGTGTGGGACTGGGACCTGGGGAGGGGGGTCCCCAGGAGATCTGTGACTCTTCCTTTTCCTTGTCCTGACTGGATCCTTGGTTATCCAGATTTCAGCCTAACCTCAGCATCCTTGAAACACAAGTGTCAGGGGTTACTTCTGTCCAATAGGAGATAGAGTGTGAGGGGTGTCTAGTCTTTATTTTAGGGGACTTGAGGTGGAGGAGATCCTTGGCTGAGAGTTAGGTAGGCCTGGTAGGGTTGCTGGGAGGGCCTAGCGGCCTGCTGCTCTGTAAAGAGCTGAGCCTTGTGCCAGTTGTTAAGCTGAGAAGTTTTAACTTGTTTAGTGAATATTGAGGGCTGTCTACCCTTCAGATACACAAAATGGAAGGGGAAGGAAGGCCGCCAGAGAGGGCTTCTTACACTTTTTTTAATGCCTGCTTGAGAAAGAGGAGGCCCCTTGCGGAGCTGGTTTGCCTTCTTTTGTGTCCTGGTTTGATTCCTTATGGCTTCCGTTGTGTTCCCCCTCTCTGCTTGGCCTGTTTTAGGAAACTCGGGCTGAGAGTATCAGTTGCGTGGTGGTAGTTGCATTGTTCCAATTACCGCTGTGTGTGGCCACATCCCAACAATTAAAATGCAGAAAAATAGAAAATCACTCTCATCACTTGATCCTGGAAAGGCCTGGGAGTTTGCTCTCTGTCCAAATGCCTTAAGAAAAGCTTGAAAGTTTTTTGTTTTTGTTTTCTACTCCCTACTCCTCATGGCTGGTGAGTTTGGGGCCTTGGGTCGCTAAGAATAAAAGTATACACTTAGGTTCCCTTCTGGCTCATTTTTGAGGACAGAGTTAAGAAAGTAGAAGCAGAAGTGATTCAAGCTTTAGCTTCTCCCACAAGAACACGGGAAGCAGCTGAGGGAGTTCTCAGGAAGCTGGAACTTTGTTTCAAGTGGTAGTAATAATTATGCATGAAAATGATAGTTAACTGTAGTGATGATTGACTTCTCCCACATCTTTCTTCCAGAGAGCTCCAAACACATCCTAGGTACTTCTTTGCTGTTTGTTGCCTTTCTCTGAGGTGGGAATGACACCCTCTTTTTTGTAGAGGGTGGTTCCCCCCCACAAGGTCACAGACAGAAGAGCCATCTTGGGTTCTTGGGTGAGCAGGTGAGAGAGAATAGCATCTAGCCAGAGAGATAGACCCCACTGTGTTCTTGATTTTGATGATGTCATCACTTCTGGCACGCCAAAGCTTTGAAGAGCAGCAAACAGGAGAGATGAGAAACTGCAGTCTGTGTGGACTCCTATTTTGTTTTTATAGGCCATTGATATGCTTTTGCACATTTTGATATTTCATGTTACCCCATTCTTGTAACAGAGTAAGATTATTATACCCATTTTATACATAGGTAGATAAGTATGTTAAGTGGTTAGCCAAAACTGAGCAAATTGCATTACTTGGTGGTGGTGGTGGTGATGTTGTTTTTGGTTGGTTGATTGGTATTTGAGGGAGGGTCTCGTGCAGCCCAGGCTGGCCTTGATAAACTCCTTATCCTACTTCCTCCTACTGAGTGCTGGGATTATAGGTGTGTTGCCACTGTTCGTGGCTCAAGACTTCAATTTCTTGATTGATTGTTCTGTCTACAAGTTAATGCTCCTTGTTCTCTTTGGTGAGCTATCTACCTTCTGGTCATTTATGGAAATAGGTAGAACAAAAGATTCTAGGTTAACTGCCTCTCTTCCCCTGAGCAAGACCCCTCAGGTATGTAATTGTGTGAGATTTTGAAGCTTGTTCTCTGATTAAAAATTAGCTTGCTTCACTCAGAAATTGACCATAATAAAGATTATTGATTAATTATATACATGCTCTTTGAGTCAGAGTAGGTAAAACACTTAGCTGAATTAAGTCATGGAGTTGTTTTTAGTATCTGTAGAGTTGAAATGTAATAAGAACTACTCTAACCATTTCCTGTCTTCTCATTGTAAAAAAGAATATCCACAGTCTCTATTGGAAAGTAATGTTGCATTAGCTGTTCAGGCCATAGGAGGATATAAAATCCTATTCATTCTGGTCTGAAGCAAAAAGAGATACCTACAACCATTGCTGCTGCTTGTACTGTATTTCTGTGGTTTAGGAGAAGGGTTCTTTCTTGGCTTCTAGCCACAAGATAAAGAAAATATTGTGCCAGTCAGTATAGAACTAACCATTTGGCATCTTTCTCATTTGAGCTGTTTTCTAAGTGGTATTGATATTGTAGGTAGAAACAACAGAGTATAAGCCAGGTTAATGGTAAATAGGTTTCAGTTTGCTTGCCAACTCCAGTTTATTTCACTGAATACCTGGTGTGCCAAGTTCAGAATGTTTCTGAAGCTATCTTTAGGCTTACCAGGAAAGAGTTGTAATCAATTAATGATGTCTGCCAGAGGCCTGGAATAGGGGTGCTGTAGTATGTATGCCATGCATTCTCCATCTCTGGACCAGGTACACCTCTAATATTACTTGGGGGCTGGTCCCTCTGTAATTGGCAGACTCAGCAGGCATGACTGGAGAGGGAAATCCCAATGGTGCTAGAATGGTGCTGCAGTGGCAGAAGACGGCTCATGAGTGAGGTCTGGAAGAACAACAGGGAAGACATCATTTGCTCCAAAGTGTGCAAGTCAAATCCTGGGCAGAAACATGATAACTCTGATCACTGAGCAGCTACAGAAGCAGACTCTGGATGAGCTGAAATGCACACGCTTCAGCATCAGTCTGGTAAAAGACCAGTCTTTCTGCTTCTTCATGCTCCCTCTCCCCCTTTTTTTCTGAGACTGTTGCTACTTCTTTACCCTTGTCCTGTATTGTATGAAGCATCATACTTGTACTAGAAGAGCCCACCAAAGCTCAAAACCCAACCCAAAAGGAAAGGGCAGGATTTTTTTTTTTTTCCAGTGAGAAAAAAGGGACAGTAAAACTTGGGTGGAGAAGGGTTTGTGATGTTGGAAGATGTGGATTGTTTCACTTACTAACTTTGGGAAGACAATAGGAAGAGAACACTTAGGAGTCTCTGACACCCTGGTAGCCCATGAACTACAGGAAGAATTTAAAAAGTCGCTTTAGAAATTTGTCATTGTGTCCTGAACCCAAATAATGATGAATAATCTCTCTCTCAGCCTTTGCCTGATCATGCAGACATATCCAACTGTGGGAACCCTTTCCAGCTTGTATCTGGTAAGGCATCTATGTTTTTGTATATATTTGTGTGTGCCTCTGTCCACACATTTCTTTTACTGATTTCTAATGGTGTATGAGTGTTTTCCTGCATGTATGTAAGTGCACCCGTGTCATGCAATGCCCGTAGAGGACAGAAGAGGCTGTCGGATTCCCTGGAACTGGAGTTACAGACAGTCATTAGCTGCTATGTGGGTGCTGGGATTCGAACCTGGGTCTTCTGCAAGAACAGTGTTTTTGTTTGTTTGTTTTTGTTTTTTTGAGATAGGGTCTCCCTGTAGCCCCAGCTGTCCTGGAACTCACTATGTAGACCAGGCTGGCCTTGAACTCACAGAGATCTACCTGCCTCTGCCTCCCGAGTGCTGGGATTAAAGGTGTGCTTGGCTGTTTGTGGGAACTTTTTTAATCTAATTGTTTTGGATTTAAAAATACTAACAAAAAGGTTATGCTGATGAAAGTCATCCTCTCCTGTCTCCAATCCACTTGGCTTCTACCACCTCCCTAAAAGTGACTTCTGAAAGCTGTTGCTTATTTGATAGGGCAGGTGCCTAGCATGTATGAAGCCCTTGGCTTATCTCAGGAACTGAGGGTATTAAGGGGTGGTAATTCCTGTTATTAGTTTCTTTACAACATTTTAATTTATTTATGATGTATGTACATGTGTATACATGCCACAGCACATATGTGGAGGTCGGAGGACAATTTTCAGGAGTCAGTTCTCTCCTTCCACCCTTGAACTCAGGTCATGAGCTATCTCGGTGAACCAAAAATTTCCTTTTTCACATTTATTTGTGTGTGGGCATGTGACTGTGTGTGTGTGTGTGTGTGTGTGTGTGTGTGTTTGTGTGTGTGGTGCAGAGTGCCACAATATACATGTAGAGGTCAGAAGACAACCTGCAGGAGTTCGTTCTCTTTCTGCCATATGAGTTTGGGGGCTTGAACTCTGGTGGCAAGTGCTTTTACTTGCTGAGCCTTCTTGCCGGGCCCTGTTAACTTTTTATTTATTTATTTATTTATTTATTTTCAATTTTATTTATTATTTTTATTTTATGTGTGTATGTGTATTGCCTGCATGTGTATAAGTGCATCCATGTCATGCAATGTCCGTGAAGGACAGAAGAGGGCGTCAGATCCCCTGGAACTGGAGTTACAGACAGTTAGCTGCCATATAGGTACTGGGATTCCAACCTGGGTCTTCTGCAAGAACATCCAATGTCCTTAACCACTGAGCCATCTTTCCAGCTTCACTAGTTTCTTTTTTGTTGTTGAGACAGGTCTCCCTAGCCCCAGCAGGCCAGGCTGCCCTCCATCTCATAGAGATCTCCTTGCCTTTGCCTCTTAAGTGCTGGCATTCAAGACATGAGCTACCACACCTGGCTTTTAACTATTTTCTTGTACATACACACACATATCCACTAGGATTTTTTTTTTTTTTTTTCAGTGCTTGGGATTAAACCTAGGGCTAAAATATGCTAAGTAAGCACTTTATTACTGAACTATAGCTCCAGTTCTCTGTTTCTTTTTCTTTGAGACAGTCTCATTAGCCCACTCTGGTCTTGAACTTGTAATATATGTAACTGAGGCTTATCTTGAATTCCTGATCCTCTGCCTCTACCTCCCAAGTACTGGGATTATAGGTATGTGCTACCATACCCAGCTTACTTTTTATTTGGTGATAGGGTTTTTCCAAATTGCCCATAGTTGCTTTGAACTTGTAACCTCCAGATTACAGGCCTATGTCACCAGGCCTAACTCAGAATTTCTGATTTTTCGGCTGGGCATGATAGCACACATCTTTAATGCTACATCTTTAATTCTCTAAACCATGCTGTTGGAGGGAGAGGCAGGCACATCTTTGTGAGTTTGAGGCCAATCTGGTCTATATTGCAAGTTCTACATCACCTATGACTCCATAGTGAAACTCTGTCTCAAAAGAAGTGTGGTAGTGCACGCTTTTAATACTAGCACTCAGGAGGCAGAAGTAGTGGAATCTCTGAGTTAAGGCTAGCTTGGTCTACCTAGTGAGTTCCAAGCCAACCAGGGCTACATTGTGAGACTCTGTCTCGAAAAAAAAAAACAAAAACAAAAACTGATTTTTAAAACTACATTTATTCATGTGTATATATACCATGGCCTGTGACAATCAGAGGACTACTTGCAGGAGTTGGTTCTCTCCTTCTGTGTGGGTCCTGGGAATGATTTCAGGTTTCAGGGTTGTCAGCAAAGCACACCCTTTACCTACTGAGCCATCTTGCTAATTCCAGAATTTCTTATATAAACAGAAGTGAATATAAAAGTGTATGTTTAGATTGGAGAGAGAGCTCAGCAGTTAATAGCACTGGCTGCTTGTACAACAGACCCAGGTTCAGTTCCCAGCACCCCATAAGACTGCTCATAACCGTAACTACAGTTTCCAGGGATCCGAGCTCTCTTCTGACCTGAGGGCGTTGTATGCATAGGTGTACTTGCAAATATGCAGGCAGAACACACATACAATCAAGAAAATTTTTTAAAGTAAACATATATTTGTATGTTGTATACTACATGCCATTCTATACTTTTTTTTTTTTTTTGGTCTATTAAAGTATATTTAAGTAGTTTCCAATTTTTTCTTTTTTTTTTTTTTGGTGTGTATGTGTGAGAATGTGGCATGTGTGTGGGGTGTTACATGCATGTGTGTATGTGTGGGTAGAGAGAGACCAGGGGACAACAGGTGTCCTGTTTTACTCTCCACCTTATTCTTTTGAAATGGAGTCTCTCTTGAAAGTGGAGCTAGGCTGGCATCCAGCAAGCCGCAGTGATCCTCCTCTCTTCCCTTCTACAGTGTTTGTTTACAGGCACATGTGTGCCTGGCTTTTTAACTCTGTTCATGCAGCAAAGTGCTCTTACCAGCTTAGCCACCTTTCCAGTCCCCAGTCTTCTGTTCTTCACACAGAACTGTGGTGAATAACTTTATACATAGGTCATTTTTCTTTTCTTTTTCTTTTTTTGGTCTTTTTGAGACAGGGTCTGCCTGTAGCCCCAGCTGTCCTGGAACTCATTATGTAGACCTGGCTGGCCTTGAACTCACAGAGATCCGCCTGCCTCTGCCTCCAGAGTGTTGGGATTAAAGGCGTGCACCACCACACCCTGCACATAGGTCATTTTTCATATGTGAAAATATGTCTGCAATGTGAATTCCTAAATTATAAATTCAGGGACCTGTGATCATGGGCAGACAACTAGAAACTCTCTAAACCATGCTGCTGGGCTGTTATGCATCTCATTTTCTTTTCTGGGGTACCTGGCATGGGAAGTGAGTTGCCAAAGTATTTCTTTCATTCTCTTTTTCTCTTACTAAGTACTTGTTGAAAGTCAGGTATTATACCGTCATAAGGATCCATGATCCCAACCCTTATAAAGGTTAGTAGGGGGAAGAATTATTAACCAAACACTTGTCATCAAATCTGGCTTCATATACTTGTGACTTGTTCCATTTCTTTTCTTTCTTTCTTTTTTTTTTTTTTTTTTTTTTTTTTTTGTCTTTGGTCTTTTTGAAACAGAGTCTCCCTGTAGCCCCACCTGGCCTGGCACTCATTATGTAGACCACGCTGGCCTCTAATCTCACAGAGATCTGTCTGCCTCTGCCTACTGAGTGCTGGGACTAAAAGAGTGTGCTATGACACCTGGCTTTTTTTTTTTTTTTTTAATGTGTATGAGTGTACTGCCTGCATGCATGTATGTAACTATGTTCATGTTGTGCAGTATCTGAGGAGGACAGAAGAGGGTGGTGTCAAATTCCCCTAGAACTGGAGTTATGGATGGTTGTTAGCTGCTGTGTAGGTGTTGGGAATTGAACCCAGGTCCTCTGTAAAGGCAGCTGGTGAGCCATCTCTCCCAACCCAGACTTGTTCCATTTCTATAAAATTCTAATCAGGGCTTGAAATAGCCCTATTGTTCCCTAGTGAGCTGTTTCCTCCAAGATCACAATTTTAGGTGGTGTGGGACACATTTGTAATCTCAGCACTTGGGAAGTAGAGGCAGGATAAGAACTTCAAGGTCAGCACTGGATACATACCAACTTTGAGGCCTGCTTGAACTACCTGAGACCCTGCCTCAAAAAACAAAGAAGGGATAGAGCTGGAGAGGTGGCCTAGGGGTTAAGAGCACTTGCTGTACTTCTAGAGGTCTAGGTTTGGACTCCCAGCACCCACATGGCAGCTCTATCTTCCTCTACCAACCTTTGTAGGCATTGCACACAAACCAGTAAACATACCAGAAATCAAAACACTTTATAAACATAAATAAATAAATCACTTAAAAATACTTCTTTTTTTTGGTCTTTTTGAGACAGGGTCTCCCTGTAGCCCCAACTGTCCTGGAGCTCACTATGTAGACCAGGCTGGCCTTGAACTCACAGAGATCTGCCTGCCTCTGCCTCCCAAGTGCTGGGATTAAAGGTGTGCGCCACCACACCCAGCCAAAAAATCTTCTTTTAAAAAAAAATTTATATTTTATTTTATGTATGTGTTATGCTTGCATGTATATAAGTGCACTTGTGTCATACAGTGCCTGCAGGGGACAAAAAAGAGGGTGTCAGATCCCCTGGCATTGGAGTTATGGACAATTTTTAGCTGCCACTTGGGTGCTGGTATTCAAACTTGGGTCTTCTGCAAGAACAACAGTGCTCTTAACCCCTGAGCCATTTCTCCAGCCTCTTAAAAATCCTTAAACAAACAAAGTTCACAATTTTTGGGGGTCTGGGAGATGCCTCAGTTCATCAAGTGCTTTTTGATGTAAGCATTTGGATTTGAGTTCAGATTCCCATCTCTCACCTAAAAACTAAGCATGGTGGCACCAGTCTATAATCTCAGTGCTAGGGAGGTAGAGACAGGCAAATCCCTGGAGCTCATGGACCAGCCAGCCTCCAAAAACTAAGTGCAGGGGGGATGTATCTGCAGGGATGGATTTACAGGTAGGTGCTTGTCAACAAATGAGAGCTCTATTTCCAGGATCTACTTGGTAGACAGAACTAGAGAACTGACTTCAAGTTGTCCTCTGATCTCCACACACGTGGCACCCTGTGGCACTGGTGCGAGTGCACTACACAGATAAATAAGGTAGAGAGTGAAGAAGGCATCTGATGTTGACCTCTGGGCTCAACATGCAGAGGCTTGTGCACACACCCACAGGAGCATGTATACACAATACACATACAAAAAAGTCACAGTTTGGAGGCTGGAGAGATGACTCAGTGGTTAAGAGCACTGACTGCTCTTGCAGAGGATCCAGGTTTGATTCTCAGCACCCACATGGTGGCTAACAACCATCTGTAACTCCAGTTCCAGGGGCTCCAATGCCGTCTTCTGGCCTCTATGGGCATGGCACAACAAGGGTGCCCTTACATACGTGCAGCCATAACACTCATACACATAACAAAATTAAATTGTTTTTGGTCTTTTTGATTCAGGGTTTCTCTGTAGCCCCAGCTGACCTTGAACTCAAAGATGATGTCTCTGCCTCCAGACTCCTGAGTGTTGGCATTAAAGGTGTGCACCACCACGCCCAGCTTAAAAATAAAAAATTTAAGCCGGGCGTCGTGGCCCACGCCTTTAGTCCCAGCACTTGGGAGGCAGAGGGCTACGAACCATCCTTAACTCCAGTTCAGGGGAATCTGAAGCCCTCTTCTGACCTCCGCAGCACTGCACAACACGGGTGCACTCACATACATAAAAAAAAAAAATTAAAAAATAAATAAATAAAAAATTTAAAAAGTCACAGTTTTGATTGGAATGCAGTGAGGATCATTCCTTTTAGCCCATTTCACTTTCTTTTGGTTCCTCTATCTTTGGTGGGGATAGGGAGGTTGGTTGGTTGTTTTTGAGATAGAGTCTCATGCAACCCAGGCTGGCCTAGAACTCAGTTCAGATCCTCTTGCTGGTGTCTCCAAAGTGCTGGAATTATAGGCCTGAATCATCACACCCAATTGTCCCCAAATCTGTTTGGCTTTAAAAGAAGGCCCAAGGGGAAGGGAATCAGAGTATATGCACAGGAACAAAAGCAACATAAAAATCTTAGGGTTTCTTAAGCATGTGTTCTGCTGTCAAATTTTCCTTTCTTGAGAATAGAAGTGATTGCTTGACCTGCTTGGTAACTTACCCTTGACATCTTTGCCTTCTGTCTTGGTCCTGTTGATACACGAGAAAAGGGCCAAAGGAGGAGAACATAGGCCTGATTTTCAGAACTCAGGCTGGGAGTAGGGAAGGGTGGGTTATAGATAGGGCTAATGGAGTGGATTGGGCCTGAGCAGGGCACACATACATGTAGGTTCCTCTTGACATACTTTACCTTTGACAGGATGTGGTAGACAGTACTGAATTTTTTTTTTTAATTTTATGTGTATGAGTGTATTGCCTACATGTAGATAATTGCATCCGTGTTGTACAGTGCCTGCGAGGACAAAAGAAGCTGTCAGATCCCCTGGAACTGGAGTTATGGACAGTTGTTAGCTGCCATGTGGGTGCTGGGGTTCGAACCTGGGTCTTCTGCAAGAACAGCCAATGTTCTTAAACGCCGAGCCATCTCTCCAGCCCAGTACTGAATGTTTTATTCCATGATTCCATGTGGTTTTTTTTTTTTTGGTCTTACTGTGACACAGTTTCCCTATAGCCCCAGCTGGTCTAGAACTCACTATGTAGACCAGGCTGGCCTTGATCTCACAGAGATCTGCCCACCTTTGCCTCCTGAATGCTAGGATTAAAGGCATGTGCCACCATGCCTGCTGTGGTTTCTTATGTTGAACATAGTATAGCATATAGTGGTTAAGTTCAAATCCTGCTTTCAGTTTGATTGCTACATGATTTGGGGCAAGTTATTAGACTACTGTCAGTTGTGGAAAAAAGGATATTCATAATACCTATTTTATAGATATTTGGGGGAAAATATATGAAATGCTCAGTACATTACGTGGCACATGTTAGCTATTATTAATATTTTTTATTACATTACGTGGCACATGTTAGCTATTATTAATATTTTTTATTACAAATTCATTCCAGAAGGTGCTTCCTGGAGGGGCCTGCCTCACTGTTCCTGTGCTGAGTTCCAGGACAGCCTCAACTTCAGCTACCATCCTTCTGGCTTGAGCCTACACCTTAGACCACCCAGTCGGGGCACCTCTCCACAAGAACAACCCCTCTCCCAAGTACTAAGCCCTGAGCCCCCAGACCCAGAGAAGCTTCCTGTGCCCCCTGCCCCTCCATCCAAGAGGCACTGCCGCTCTCTCTCGGTGCCTGTGGACCTGTCTCGCTGGCAGCCTGCGTGGCGGCCTGCCCCCTCCAAGCTGTGGACTCCCATCAAGCATCGGGGAAGTGCTGGAGGGGGTGGGCCGCAGGTGCCTCACCAGAGCCCCCCAAAGAGGGTCTCCAGCCTCAGGTTCCTCCAAGCTCCCAGTGCCTCTTCTCAATGTGCCCCAGCCCACAGACCCTACAGCCCTCCTTTCTTCAGCCTGGCCCTGGCTCAGGATTCCTCTCAACCCTGTGCCACCTCTCCTCAGAGCGGTTCCTGGGAGAGTGATGCTGAGTCCCTGTCACCTTGCCCACCCCAGCGTCGCTTCTCCCTGTCACCCAGCCTGGGCCCACAGGCAAGCCGTTTCTTGCCCTCTACTCGGAGCTCCCCTGCATCATCCCCAGAGCTGCCCTGGAGACCTCGAGGTCTCCGCAATCTTCCCCGAAGCCGCTCACAGCCTTGTGATCTGGATGCACGCAAAACTGGGGTCAAGCGGCGTCTAGAAGAAGACTCCCGGCGCCTTCGGCCTTCTTTGGATTTTGACAAGATGAATCAGGTGGGACTAGTAGATGAGAGGAGTGTGGCTAGGAGTGGGAGGATGAGTTAAGCTGTTTTGCCTCCTTGGGAACTCTTCTGTAATAGCTTATCTTAGGATGACCATTCTGGGTTTGCCTGGGACTATTCCAGGTTTATCACTGAAGGTCTTCTGTCCTATCAAATTAGTCAGGCCTGAAGTTCCAAAGAAATTAGGGTGAGACATTAAACTTTTCAACAAGGGTCAGTAATTGTCCTGCTAGAGGCACTTTCCTCTGAGAAAAAGCCCTGTCACCAGCTCCCTATTCTTCCTTATGCTCAGGACTGGTTTTGTTTGCTACTCGCTCTTCACTGCTTCATTGGGCCTTTGAAGGCTTAAGCAAGACGAACAGTGATGTTTATGAATTCAACAAATACTTTTTTACTTTCCTAGTCATAAGAACAGCTGTATATGCACTTGCCCATGTTTTCCATATTTTTCTTTCTAGACCACTAGATTACAGGCCTCTTTGAGAGTTTGTTCCCTTAGTCGTTTAGGGAACAGGAAGCATTCACTGAAAATCTATGTACTTGACTTTGCTTAGGCACTGGCAGAACAGACCAGCCAAATATAGATGGTGTTCCTGCCTGCATGGAGTTTATAAATTAGTGTCTTTTTTGTTATTGTTGTTTGGAGACAAGGTCTTGCTAAGCAGCCCAGGTTGGCGTCAGCTTCCTGAACTCTTGAGATTTCAGGTGTGCACCACTATGGCCCTTCATAACTTGTTTTGTTTTTAAATAAGTCTTTTCTCTTTAAAAAAAAGATTTTAAAACTGTGTGTGAGGGTATGTGCAAGTGAGTGCAGGTGCCCTCAGAGGACAGAAGAGGGTATAGGATCCTCTGGAGCTAGAGTTACAGGTGATTGTAAAATACCCAATATGGGTGCTAGGAACCGGAACTCAGGTTCTCTGGAGAAGCAATATGCACTTTTAACTGCTGAGCTATCTATCCTTCCCCGCTACCCCCGCACCCTCATTATAGCTTCTATTCTTTTTTGTGGTGCTTGTCATTGAACCTTGGCCATGCTGTGCAAATGTTCTACCACTGAGTTAAACCCTAGCCCCTAAGCTTCTATTCTTCAATCTGATGAGAACTGTAGGCTCTGCTCAGAGAAATGTACGTACATGTATACTAAATTTTCCAAATTCTATCAACAGTTTACCAGCCTCATCTGAAGCCTAGGATTTTTGCCTTCAAGTATAACTGAGAGGTGCACTTCGAAATATACCTTAGGAGACTTTGGGAAGTTAATATATTTGTCTTAACTTTGTTTTTTGACAGAAACCATACTCAGGAGGCCTCTGTCTCCAAGAAACAGCTCGAGAAGGCAGCAGCATCTCTCCACCGTGGTTCATGGCCTGTAGCCCACCACCTCTCTCTGCTTCCTGCAGCCCTGTTGAGGGTTCATCCCAGGTGCTGAGTGAAAGCGAAGAGGAGGAAGAGGGGGCTGTTCGGTGGGGACGACAGGCACTAAGCAAGCGGACACTGTGTCAGCAGGACTTTGGGGACCTGGACCTGAATCTGATTGAGGAAAACTAAAATTGAGAGGCTACTTCCTGGGGCCACACAGACTGATTGTCATATGGCTACTAACAAGTGTGAAGGCCCCAAGGCTGAGAGCCCAGCCTGGGAAAGGGGGTGAGTGGAGGGCTCCGACTCAGGGCAGCCGAAGTCTCCTCGCTCCAGCAAGCTCGACCATGCCAAGAGACTGGCCGGGACAAGATAAACAGAGCTGGTGGCGGGAGGGACATCCCCAGAGCAGACTCCCTGTGGCGGCCCTGAGTGTGAGTATCCCTGCCCCTGAGAAAGCAATGGGCAGGGAAGGAAGGGGTCTGTTGACCCCAGCTCGGGGAATTTCACTAGCCCCTTTGCTTCAAAGGGCACTTGTGTCTTAGAATTTGGCCAGGGTTGGGGGGGTTCGTTCAGCCTCCTTGGAGAAATTGTGTGAGTGTGTGTGCGTGTGTGTGTGGGAATATACTTGAGGAAAGGTGTTTGTGTAGCCTTAGGGAAGGAAGGCAGTTGCTCCTTTTAACAGCAGAGCATCAGGATACCCCCAGAATCTTGAGTTTTTAATATGACAGTGGGCTTGTTCAAGGAGTCGAGGAGAGGGGGCTCCAAATTTTCCTTTTGTCTTACTAGCTCTGGAACCAGGCTTATAATCCATAGCATCACTTGCTCTGCAAAGGGTTCTCTGTTGGGGTCTAGCAGAGTCTTTTAAGTGCTGTAACCTCAGCTAATAGTCTTTTTCTCAGTCCCACTCTCTCCCACTAGATAAATCTAGTATTGAGGGTTTGTAGGAAGATTGCCACATTTATTCTGAGCTGATCCTTTTGTTTTCATCAGATTATCTAAACTATTGTATACAGCCTGCCTTGCTTGTTCTCTGAGTGCAAACATAGACCACTGAAGCAGAGCTGAGGGGCTCCCTCTTTTCTTCACCAGGGGACCCTTTCATCTTCTGATCGATAAGAGACAAGGTTGATCACCAGGATATATTGAGGCAGACCTGCAGCAGGAGCAGTGATATTCAGTCCCCAGCAGCCCTGAGCCCACCCAGCAATGCCTTTTGAAAGCTGGTTGTTGAGAAACCTGTTCTTGCAAGATCTAGGCCCATAACGCTCTCCTGACCTGCTTGAGAAAGAGGAAGGGTGTTCAGCATTTAATAGTTTGCTTGTCTTCCACTTTTGCCAGGAAATGTTTATTTGCCTCTAATTGGCCCTGAGAGAACCCTGGGGCTCACTGAGGGATTGGCTGAGGATGTGTAAAGCAAAGGCTGTGAGAAGCAGCTGGGAGTTTGTTGTTGGATTGAATTTCCTTTTTTGTTTCTCGCCCACAACTTGAGCCAGGGTAGCAGGTCCCAGTGGCTACAGTGATGGATTTAAGGATTGCAGATACCTTTGTAGCTGGCATTGGTGGATCTGCATATAGAAGCTGCCACTACTGTAGGCTTTTTTAGAAGACCCTGCATAACCAAATTGGACCTGCCCTTCCCATTTTTTACAAGGGCATTTTTCTGTTCAGTTTCCAGAATATCTTAGACCTCAGTTCCTCACGTTTCAGAAGACTAAGGTCTGTGTTTTTTCTTTGTGGAATTGAGCCTGATGTTTATTGCTTCTCCCACATATTAGCTAGGACTACCACTGAGGCTTTAGCCTCCTTGCCTCCACTTCAGGGGAGGTGCCCGTGTCTTCTCGAGCTTGTGGCCCTCAGAGGCTTTAGTTTTCTAAGCTCTTCCCTATCTCCTGGCTAGTTTCCACATACTATCACTGGGCTACCAGCCTCTAAGGGCCTAAGAGAGGCTCTCTGGAGAATCAGGAAAACTGAGCCCAGGAGTTACCCATCCTCGTTTTCATCCCTCCTCTGGTTCTTCTCCCTCTTTGGTCCATAATTTCCCTAGTGCCAGTTTATCTCCTGGTGCATCCTCATCCTGGGGCGCTCTGCTGCAGGTTGGCAGTGCCAGCTTTTTGTAGGTCCTGGCAATGCCATTAGGGTCTCTGCAGGTCCTAAGCTTAAGTGAAGGCAGTAGTTCTGTCACCATCCTAGCTTTCCCCAAACCCTAGGTCACCATCTTTAGGAAAGAAGGCATACAGTCATATTTTAATTCTATTATTTTAAGTCTGGAAAGTTAAACTAGTCAGAACTATCATTTTGCTTCCAAATCTAAGCACCTCTGGCCCTGGAACAAGCCTTTTCAAGAAGTGAATTATTTTGCTTGATACAATAGATCTGTTCCAAAAGTTCTATGTAAACCAAATGCTTACTTTTTTAAATGCATTTGGATTGCTGACCATTTAAAAGCAGCCTATGATTGCTTCTTTTGTAAAGCAAGCAACCTTCCTGTACTTTGTTTTAAATATTTGGGTTTTCACATATTGGGCTTACTCAGAGTGGAGCACACCTCCAGGGCTTGTGGCTGACACTGAGTAGATGTCTGCATCTGTGCTGCGTGTATGATGTGGCTGGCCAGTAGGTGAGTATTCCTGCGTGTGTGAGTGAAGCCACTCCCAGGCTGATGCTCTCCTCCTGTGCCCGGTGACTGCCCAGTGGCAGCCCCAGCTGCCCTTCACTCCCACCTGCTGCCAAAGTCCCTGTGCTAATGGGATTACAGAAACAAAAAGTGGAAAAAAAAAATTTTTCGTAAACTTTGTTTTATATTAAAAAAAAAAATCCATAAGTCTGTGTGTGTTAAAACATGAGGTTCTGCCTCTGTGGCTGTGTTTGAAAAAATAAAGTTTTATTAGAATAATCCATTTTCCCAAGCAACCTTGTGTACTATAGTGTCTTTTTCCCTTTCCTACAGGAGGGAGACCCTAAAAAAAAAAAAAAAAAAAAAAAAAAAAAAAACAGGGCAGAGAGAAGGCCACTAACTTTGTTGTTCCTTTCTCTAAGACATGACCAGGCCATTCCAAAAGGGCAGTATATCTGATCCCTAGACCCTTTATGACCATAGCAGATCAGATCCTGTTGCCTGGGAGTCTGTCAATCTGTCTTGGTCCCTTTTCCCTGGCACTTAACACATGTCGCCTCTTCCTTGTTATCACTCTCACTTGCAGCTGATAGAAGCCACAGGTATCAGTACATTCCAGTTTCCTGAGAAACACTTGATGGTACATTTAGAAACTTGTCTAGGTCAGTTCATAGGCTGTGGGTGCTGGGGAAGAGAGTGGGAGATGACAAGGAATCCCTTCAGAGTTCACTGCTACATGCTGTATCCTAGAGAGATGGAGATTTAATCATCAGAATTCCAAAGATCTGGGTAACTTCTCCATCCTAAAAAGACTGTTTGCAAGATCATTCTAATATCAAAGCTCTTTTGTCTTAGAAGATACTTTTCCTAATGCTTCTATTTGGATTGTTAATTTGCTGAAAGAAATTGTGTGGCTTACATTTTCAGACTTTTCTATTCCACCCTTTCCTCTTACCCTAACATTTCTTTGAAAATGTGTGGGTGAAATATAGTTGCTTAGAGATCCAAGCATGAGTTTCTGTCCTTAAAGTTTAGCCTTTCTTTACCAAGCAGCAGTCAAAAGTTGCTTAGCTTCAGTCCTACTTTCCTGCTTCAAATTGTGGTACTCATCATTGAATACCAATGAAGTATGCTGGACAGGATTGACATGACTACCTGAAGTAGAAACATTTGGATGTAAACCTACACTAGTGAGTGGGAGTTGTCACTTGCCCTTAAAACAAAGGTGTGGCTTTGGAGATGGGTTGAGTAGGGCAGAGGCATGTGGTTAAAGAAGCTTTGAATTACAGCTTTTTTTATCTTTAAAACTTGTTTCACCTGCTTGAGCAGGGGTAAAGTTTGAACATCTAAAATGACTTTATTCCTCTTTTTTTGAATTTTATAGTTGGTTTTTAAATTTTTGTTTTGTATTTTTGGTTTTGCCTTTTGTGGTCCTGGGGACCAAACCCAGGGCCTTGCACACATGCTAGGTGAATATTCCTCCCGCTGAATTACATTGCCAGCCTTGTAGTTCTGTGTGTGTTAATCATTTTTCATTGCTGAAGTCCCTTATTGGAAAGAGGTAAAATTTCTATGAGGGCTAGGGTTTTGTTTTATTCAATTTTTTTAAATTCAGTTTATTCATGTTTATTTTGTTTTATTGTGGCCTCAATACTTTGGAAATATCCCGATACATGAAAAGCTCCTGTCATATTTGTTGAATGAAATTCTCTGTTCTTTCTATCCCTGAGCTTAAATATGAAAACCAGCCTTAGACACTGGAGCAGTGATTAAAGCTCTCTATGGGAGAAAAATCTCAGTAGTTAATTTTTGTAAAAAAAACTGTAGGTCCTGTATGAATTCATCCCTGTTTTCCTCCAAATAATTTATGGACTTTGTGTTCTATGATTTATCTCACCAGAAAAACATTTGAGTCAAGGCCTGAGGTTTGCTGTGGGATAGTTTTGAGTAGGGAGGAAATGTTGCCTTGGTGCTCCATAGAGTTAGTTCTAGAAAGACTTCCCTAGATGTTTTGTCTTATATAACTAAAATTGGTAGTTGGTGTCTCCCAACCCAGTCTTTACCACAAGAAATGTAGATCAAGGGTGTACACAAGGAGATAACTAGATAGACACCTTGGAGAAAAATAACCCAACTACTACTTACCTTTCTGTGGGACAGATCAATGAAAGAAATAGCCACTTTTGGAGTAACAGTCATATATTATTACTAGACATTTTATCTTTGTATATACTTAGTCTATATATTCAAGAGACTATTGGAAACATGATGGTCTGACATTACCAACATTAAATGATTAGTTTCCCATAGTGTATTGTGAATAACAGTCTAGCCAAAATCTCAGCATCTGCCCTCTCTTACCACCTCCTTTTCTAATTGGGATTAATCAGTATGTCATACCTGAAATCAAATGGGTATTAGTGGACTTCCTTTACCTTTAACCCCATTACTTCCATGGTAAATTGAAGTGTGGTCTCCTTCCAATTTACCTGAAAGTTAATACTTAGTCTTCTTTTGGGGGGGGTCTTTTTGAAACAGGGTCTCCCTGTAGCCCCAGCTGGCCTAGAACTCACTATGTAGACCAGGCTGGCCTTGAACCCACAGAGATCCACCTGCCTCTGCCTCTCAAGTGTTGGGACTACAGGCATGCGCCACCACGCCTGGCTTACAACACCTAGACTTAATAATATTGGCAGACTGGAAAAGGGAAGTGGCTCTGTGGGTTCAAGGAAGAACACCGAGATGTTGGAGGCACATTAGTCTTTAGCCAATGGAAACAGCATAATCACATCCAATGGCTGTAGTAATGCATTGGCCAATTGGAAAGGCAACCTATGAAGTACTGGTAGTGTAGAATAAGATAGCATTATGTTACCCGCCAATGAGAAGGAAGATAGAATGTCCTGTGGACCAATGGGGTGAATGTTTCTTAAAAGATGCTAGGGAGCAGAACTCATTTTCGGGGTAGGATATAATGGAGTATTGGGGTTAGTAAAATCTTAGCTCAAAACACTCATCTTCTAGGTACCTTGCCCCTCATCCCTCAACCCCCTAAAAAGTCTTAGGTGTTCCAGGAGAGTAAACTTAAGCTTCTCAACATGTGACCCGCTGAAGACTGGGGCTAGAAATGGTGCCATGGGGGACTCAGGACCCGCCCACTTCCCCCAGTCCGCGGGCGAACCTGCAATTCCCCTCCTGGCCGCAGGGGGCACTGCAGGTCCGGGGGGAGGTTGGGGCGGAGCGCCGCGAGGGGCCGAGAGCTGCCGCCCGGCTCCGGAGCGCTGGGGGCGCTGTGTGCGGCCCGGGCTGCGACTCCGCTCCCGGCCACGGGGGGCGCTGCGCGGCGCCGGTGGTTGGTGGTGGTTGGTGGTGGCTGTTGGGGGGGGTGGGGGGGATCGGCGGCCGCGGGTGGTGCGGAGGGAGGCCTTGCGGGTGGATCGGGTGCTCGGTGGAGGTGGTGGGAGGCAGCGGGCGGGAGCGCGGGTCCGGCTGGCCCTGGCGATGGCGGACGCGGCGGCCTCCCCGGTGGGCAAGCGGCTGTTGCTTCTGTTCGCGGACACCGCGGCCTCAGCTTCGGCCTCGGCCCCCGCGGCGGCGAGCGGAGATCCGGGGCCTGCGCTGCGCACTCGGGCCTGGCGGGCAGGCACGGTGCGGGCCATGAGCGGGGCGGTGCCCCAGGACCTAGCGGTGAGTGGAGGCTGAGGCGGGCACTCGAGGCCGGGGCTGCGGGGCCTGTGGGCGGCCTCCCCGGGGGCCTTTGTGAGGGGGGTGGCGAGGTGGGGGTGACCCAGTTCTGCGCCCCCGGATCTCCTCAGCGCCCCCCGCCGGCACCCCGGCACTGAGCTCTGGCCGGCGTAGCTTCCGCGTCGGGGTGCGCGCCCCAGTTTCTCTCGGGGGGCGGCCGGGGTGCCAGGATCTGCTGCTGCTGCTTCTAGCCGGCAGGCCCCGCCTCCTGGGCGACCCTTTGCTCGGCGTACTCCCCCCCTACACGCCTTCAGAGCAGTCTCTCGAACCCTGGATGCCCGGGTCCCGCTGAATTCGGCCAGAAGACGCGAACCTATGGTCCCCAGGCCCCCTCAGGAGACCTGCTCCGGGTTCGTTCCTTCCGGAGCCCGGAGTAGGGCCGGAATGTGGGCAGTTGTGGGAGGCACCAAGGCTGCAGTTGGAGCTGCTCGGGGCTTTTTTATCTAGCAGTTACTTCCTTCTTGTTTGAGCCAGGCTCGGCCTGGCGGTCCCCAGAAAGGCCAGCTCTCAAGTCTGTCTTCTAGCTCCCTTCTCTTGGCGCTTCTGGGTGACAGGAGCTGCACTTGTGCCTTTTTGATAAGTTTGAGGTCTGTGTTAGTAGCCGAATGAGGCTACTGACTGGTGCTTTTTGCTTCTTGTTCGGCTACTCCCCTAAACCTTGGGAGAGATTTTGCTTTGAAACTTTGTATTTGGAGCTTGGTCGCTTGACTTGGGAGTGTTTTGTGATTAAAGTTGCTTAGTAAAAGAAGTTAAATAGCATTCAAGACCGTGATTTATTTTTGTTATTGTGGAGGCAAAATACTGTCTTTCAATTTTGTCAAGCCTCTTTATTTAGTTCCTCTTTCTGATAACAGCCCTAGCCTCTCTGGTAGATAAAGCTATGGAAAATGGGGCGGGAAGGGTATTTTGGAATTAATGTAATAGATCAGCAAACAGAAAATATTCCTGATGAATTTGCTTCTGCAGACATTTTACTTCCTAAACAGGGACGCATTTGTGAGATCTGGGGATAATTTAGGTTTCCAGTGTTCGTTTTTTCTTCCAAGTGGTCAACAGTGTGTCAGCCCCCCCCCCCCCCACCAGTCTTCATGGGTTGTTTGACTTGTGCCTGGTTTAGGCTTTTCTTCTGCTGCTTCAGTCACTTTAAGTATTCTTCATGCTGTATAAGAAAGGCTGCTAGGATATTTATGAAGCTTTAGTGGAGTGAATTTGTAAAAAGAAACCGCTAATGTAAGGAGGGTAGGGATGATAAATATGATGGAGATTTCGATCTAAATTCCTCGCCAGCTTACTTTCGGTGGACTGCTGGGATAATGGGGAGGTGTCCTCTGATTCTTTAATTGACTCCTGGAAGCAAAGCATTCCTGAGATCCACCCTATGCGCATACTTTGACCTGAGGCATAGTCTGCCCTAGCTTCTGTTTTGGGATTTTACTTTGCAATTCTTCCAATGGTGGTTTTCCTGGTTTCCTCCTTCAGATGAATTGGTAATGAGTTCTGCACCTGAAATGGCTACCCTTTCATTTTTGCAGTTTGCTGGATTCCTTGAGGA